CAACGTTGTGAGACGCCCCCCAACACACACCACTCCCCTCCCCACACACACACACACCACTGTCCCCCCCACACACACACCACTGTCCCCTCCCCCTACACACACACCACTGTCCCCCACACACACACACACCACTGTGTCTATGTAAATATTTTTTAAACTAGCTGGGCATGGTGGTGGGCACCTGTAGTCCCCACTACTCGGGAGGCTGAGGTGAGAGGATCGTTTGAGCCTGGGAGGCTGAACTGTGATTGCACCGCTGCACTCCAGCCTGGGCAACAGAACAAGAGCCTGTCTCAGAAACAAACAAACAAACAAAAAACAACAACTTCTTGGGAGCCACTAGGCTTCCAGCGAGAAACTATCAGGATGGAAGTGAAGAGGCCTAGATTCTGTGGCCTGGTCTGCTGGGCCGCGCTGAGCAGCTCACCTGCCCTCTCTGAGCCTCATTTCTCTGAAGGGAAATGAAGTTGGGCCATGTGCTCCCTAAGAGAGCTTCACCAGCCTCTCAAAATTGTGACCGAGCTTCTATTTATAAACTATCATTTCTTACCTTCCAGTGGAGTTCAGAGAAATTTGTCAGTGCCTTCCCGGTGACACACTGGGCGCGCTGTCCCTTCCCAGGAGGTGGTGGCAGGTGTCAGTTTCCCCCGAGCAGAGGGAGCAGGTCGCTGCCCTCCGTGGACAGGGGTTTCTGCAGAGCCAGTGCAGGGGCTCCTCCCCTCCAGGACCTGGGTGTCCCAGGGGGAGCAGACAGCCACTCTTTCTCTGGGGTTGGGAAACAGGCAGAAATCAGACTGTGCATTTTCACACGTGAGGGTCACACCGGCTCCGAGCTCCTGGGAGCACCTGGAGGGCAGGTGGGCTTGAATGGCCCAGCCACGTGTGTCTGCATCTGTTTGTTGGTCTCAGAGGTGTGGCCAAGGCATGGTCCCGTTGCTCGGGAGGCTGAATCACTGGGGCAACACACCCCAGGTAGGCCTGACCTGAACGGCATCGAATGACTGTCACGTAAAGCTAACGGTTTTGGAGAATATTGTTACAAAAGCACAGATTGCTGTGTCTTGGGCTGTGGCTGTGTGCATTGCTGCAGGAGCGGTGGGATATACCTACCTTCCAGCAGCCTCACCTGCTTGGTGTGTAGATGGCAGCTAGCATGCCAGCTGCAGCTACTGGAGGCACACATACCCTTCTCAGGAGAACGTGCCCCAGGCTTCACTCAAGACCTAGTGTTTATTGATTTTTTTGAGACAGGATCTCGCTCTGTCACCCAGGTCGGATGCAGTGGCACAATCACACTCACTGTTGCCTCAACCTCCTGGGCTCAAGGGGTCCTCCCACCTCCGCCTCCTGAGTAGCTGGGACCACAGGCATGCGCCACCATGCCTGGCTATTTCTGTATTTTTTGTAGAAGTGGGTGTTGCCATGTTGGCCAGGCCAGTCTTAAACTCCTGGCTTCAAGTGATCCACCCGCCTCAGCCTCCCAAACTGCTGGGATGACAGACGTGAGCACCGCGCCAGCCACCAAGATCTGTTGGCTCTTAGTTTGCACATAGTTCTAACAAGTATCATCACCTGGTTTCTTGGGAGAAACAATTACTGAACAGGTGAGAGAGCTGTTTGTACTACCATAGACAAGTAATCGAATAGGAGTTTCAGGCTCATGTCAAAGAAAGAGGCAGAAAAATAAAACCGAAAAGAGGAGCACCCGGGACCCTCTGGTTGCTTCATGTCCCCGTTCGCATCTGGACTATGACTGTGACGTTCGGAAGAGTAATCGTAGCCATAGCAGCGACTCGGGTTATTCAGAAAAGCTTAAGTGACCATTTGTATGTTCTGTTCCCAAAGGCAGGGAGGGAAATGATCCAGTCGAGGACAGTTTCATTCCAGAACGGGTCTCATAGAAGCCAGTACCTAGAAAACCCACCGTAGGGATCTGCTTCTTCTGTAATGATCTACGGATCCCCTCCTACACCCCAGGCACACTGTGTGCTGTGAGGTGGATACCACCGTTGTCTCCATTTTGCAGATGAGTAAACTGAGGCATAAAGACGTTAGATCAGCTGGTCACACAGCAGGGAAGTGCATGCTGGGATTTGAGCCCGGGAGACCGATGTCAGAGGGCAGGTCTTGCACCCCACACTGCTGCAAAGAGAGACACGTGCTGATCCGTGTTAGAAGGGGGTGATCTGCACAAATGCCACTCCCGTCACCAGCTCCACACCAATGGCCTTTCATCAGCCAATTTCCCTGCAGACCCAAGAAACTGTATTATGCCTGGCTGGGCCCAGCACTCACCCAGAGATCTGCAAACTTGTTCTATAAAGGGCCGGACAGTAAATATTTTCAGCCGTGCAGGCCATATGGTCTGCTTCGGAAGCAGGAAAGCAGCCGCAGAGGAGATGTAAATGATGGGCCCAGTCAGGTGTGGCCATAATTGGATCTAGATCCATGTTGGGAGCGTAGCTCAGAGCCTGAAGAATAGAGTCTTTCAAGTTTGGCCTTCCCTTATCCCAGGATCACACCAGTCGTTAAGCACACACCTGCTGGTTGGCCTGTGGTTGGAATCATCACCTCCCCCAGCCCCACTGTGCCGTTGGCGAACTCCTACTCATCCCTCATGGCTCAGGTGAAACATCACCTCCTCCAGGAAGCCTTCCCTGATGGTCCCAATTCACATGGGCTCCCCGTGGTTCCTGGCTCACCAGAGTCTACTGCAGTAAATTATTTCCTTTTGTTCCTCCCCTTAAGCTGTGCTTTCCTTGGGGTAGGGACTCTGCCTCACAGATGTCCATCCCCTAGAGTCTGGCGTATTGTGAACACTTGGTAAATAATGAATGAATGTGACACCAGTTGACCAGCCCTGCAGCCTGGGAGCAGGCTGTGGGCTTCTGAGGCCCTCTGTGAATGTGCATCTTGCTGTCCGGGGATTGCCCCCAAGCTCTGCCCCCCACCATCACCTCGGCCTTCATGCTGGCAGCCGCCGCTGCATGGAAAGCCACAGCTGCTGTGAGTGATTGCCCTGGGGAGGGAGGCAGCTGCATCCAGTTACGGTTGCACCCTCCCCCCGGCTGTAGGGAGTTATCACTGCCATTGAGAGACTTGGGGGCAGCAGTGTGAGGACCCAGCTGGCTCCTCACAGCCTCCTCGGGGTCCCCAAGGGGCCAGAGAGGCAGAGGAGCCTCAGTCCTACGTATGGGCCAGGGCCTGCCTCTCTCCAAGCCTCGTCTCCTCTGCCCTCTCATGTGATCCTTGTGACATCTCACAGGTGAGGGAAACTGAGGCACGGGGCCCAGACTGGCAGTTGCACCAGTAGGGCGGGAACTCCTTTGACTGGGTGCCCAGCTCAGGTGGCCACACACGGCCAGACAGGGGACTGGCGTGACCCCCCCAACCTCTCTGGGTCTCAGCCCCTCCTCTGGAAAGTGGGGAGAATATTGTAACTTCCCGGGGTCGGGTGGGACTGGGAGGATGGGTGGGGGGCTGGCATACAGCCGGTGCTCCGTCGGCGGCAGCCGCCATGGAACGGTGGCACCTGCCCAGGCCAGGCCCATCCGGCCTCACAGGGGCAAGTGAAGCTTCTCCAAGACGTGGCCACGGTGGGAGCTGTGCCCTCCTCTGTCCACAGCCGCCCTGGGCACGCTGGACTTCAGCCTGCTGTACGACCAGGAGAACAACGCTCTCCACTGCACCATCACCAAGGCCAAGGTAGGCCCCGCCGGCCTGCCCCCCGGGGTCTGCAAGAGAGGGCCTAGGTCAGGGAGGCCAGACCACACCACCCCCCGGGTTCCTGTCCAGGCTTTCGGATGTCTGAGCTGTGTGGGGCCGGGAAGGAATTCTTGTTTAAACCTTCTTGAATACCGAACTCCAAGAAACGCCCTGGACAGTCAGGCATTGAGGGGAGCAGAGAAACAGATGAGAACGGGAAGATGAAGGCCTGGACGGAGGCCTCCCGAGCCTGGGGAGGGGCTGCTGAGAGGGAGAGAGAGGGACAGGGTGATGTCTGTCTGTCCTGCAGGCCAGGGGAGGGTGGCTTGGGTGCTGGTGCCTCCAGGCCTCCCAGGCGCCCTGAGGAGTGGGGACGCCACTGTGCACCCTGGAAGCCGAGCCACTGGAGGAGGCTGACACCATTCGAGGCAGGGCGTCCAGGGCCTGAGCCCAGAGGCCCTCTGAGCCTCACTACGTGGGCTGGGGTTGTAGGTGTGTATGGACCCCTCTGCAGCCTGGCCCGGCCCCTGGTGCTCCCCTCTGGCTCTGCCACTCGAGTCAGCATGTGCCAGTTCCATGTTCTCAACTGTCCTGTTCCCTTGCCCCCTCACCCCGTGGCTCCCTGTGGGAGGAAGGTGCCAAAATTGATGTTCTCTCGCAAGGTAAGGGCCTGCGTGGCCAGTGGAGTCCCCCTAGTAGTGCCATGGAAGGGCCTGAGCCAGCCCGGCTCAGATCCAGCGGCTCCCGCAGAGCCCCACCCAGACTCCCAACCTGCAGGCTCCCTGCCCCTCCTCCCAGCCTGGCCGTGAGGGCTGCCCTTGGCGCCATGCCCACCCAGTAGGACAGGCTACTGCGTGCCACCCCAGGCACAGCCTGGGCCACGACACGTGGACTGCCATGGGTAGGTGTGAGTGCCATCCACGCCAGGCCCAGGGCCCTGGTTGGGCACTGAGAGGCCTGCACGCTCCATCCCACCCCTGCCCTCCCTCTGGAACCACCTGTGCTGTGGCTCAGCGCATGCCCAGCCTTGCCTGGCAGGGGCTCCAGCCGCCCCTAGGAGCAGAACTGAGCATTTATCAAACCCCAGCTGTGCCAAGGTAGAGACCAAGCTAGACCCTCCCTGCTTTCCCTCTGTCCAGCTTTGTAGAGGTGGTCCCGGCCTGGGGACTGGAGAGGTGCTGGCTGCCAGGCCGCTCTGGCCAAAGCCCACGCCTTCCTCTCTCTCCACCGGACACCAGGGCCTTTCCTTCCTTGTTCCAGGTGCGTGTGTGTGTGTGTGTCTGTGTGTGTGCATGTGTTGTCTGTGTGTGTTCTCTGTGTTGTGTGTGTCTGTGTGTGGTCTCTGTGTTGGTGTTCTGGTGTGTGTTGTGTGATGTGTGTGTGCATGGTGTGTCTCTGTGTTGTCTCTGTGTGTGTGTGTCTGTTGTGTGTCCGTGTGATGTGCATGTGTGTGTCCCGTGTGATGTCCTCTGTGTGTGTGTGTCTGTGTGGTGGTGTGGTATTGTGGGGTGGTGTGTGTGTGCACGCATGTGTGTGTGCCTGTGTGTGTGTCTCTGTGTGTGTCTCTCTGTGTGTGTGTCCGTGTGTGTGCGTGTGTGCGTGTGTGTGCATGTGTGTGTGCGCGCATATGTGTGTGTGTGCATGTGTGTGCGTGTGTGCATGTGTGGGTACTGTGTGTGTGCATGTGTGTGTGTGTCTGTGTGCGTGTGTGTCTGTGTGCGTGTGTGTGTTTGTGTGTGTGTGCGTGTGTGTGTGGGTACTGTGCGTGTGTGTGTGCATGTGTGGGTACTGTGTGTGTGTGCGTGTGTGTGTTTGTGTGCATGTGTGGGTACTGTGTGTGTGTCTGTGTGTGTGCACGTGTGTGTGCATGTGTGTGTGTCTGTGTGTGTGTATGTGTGTGTGCATGTGTGTGTGTGCGCGTGTGTGTGTGCGCGTGTGTGTGTGTCTGTGTGCATGTGTGTCTGTGTGTGTGTGTGTGTCTGTCCATATGTGTGTGTGTGTGTGTGTGTGCGGGTACTGTGCGTGCACACATGTAAGTGTGTGTCCACTTTGGGCTGTATCCCTCAGGTATCAGAAGTGGGGGTGGGAGGCCCAGTTCCTTCTCTGTGTAAATCCGGTTCTGTAGGGAAGGGGTGGCACAGGCTGGGGTTCTGGGCGGGGGTGTGGGGAGGGCCCAGGGTGGGCGAGCGGAAGTGAGGCCTCCGGAGGGCCGGGGTGGGGGCTGGACCCTCCAGGTGCACCTTGCTTGTCACCCCTTGTAAGGGTCGGTCTCAGTTTGCCCATCTGTAAGGAGGGTTGCTTGTCCCTGCCCTACCTGGCCGTTGTGAGCGTTGTTGAGTTAACAGGCGGCCCCGGCACTGCTGGTTCTGGGAGACTCTTGTTTTGTTTTTTATTATTATTGTGGTAAATTACACGGATCTAAATTTCCCACCTCAACCGTTTTTTTTTTTACTCCTCCCCTCAGCGCTCACCCATGGTTAGCGTACAGCTCAGTTGTGCTGAGCACCTTCTGCCTTCGCGCTGCTGTGAAACCCGTCCCCAGAGCCCTCCTCAGCTCGCAAAACTGAAACTGTACCCACTGAACAGCAGCTCCCCTTCTCCTCCCCAGCCGCTGGGGAGGCCTCATACAAATGCAGCCCCCCAGTGTCTCTCCTTCTGAGTCGGCCGCCTTTCACTCCGCCCAAAGCCTTCAGGCTCCATCCCTGTCGCGGTGCGCGGAGAATTTCCTTTTTCAGGCTGGATGGTGCTTCCGGCTAGAAAGCTCCTCTCTGAACACTTCGCCAGCAGGTCTCGGAGAGGCCCAGGGCGGGGTAGGGCTGGGGTTTTGGGGAGAGGCTCTCCTCTCAAGGCCAGACCCCCCTCTGTTCCCTCAGTGCCAGGACCAGCCAGGGCCTCCCCCAGGCCTCCTTCGCCCATCCCGCCTGTATGAGTCCATTTTCACGCTGCCCAGACAGACACGCCTGAGACTGGGTAATTCATAAAGGAAGGAGGTTTATTGGACTTGCCGTTCCACGTGGCCGGGAAGGCCTCACGGTTATGGCGGAAGGTGAAAGGCACTTCTCACATGTTTGGTGGCAGGGGACAGAATGAGAGCCAAGCAAGATGGGGTTCCCCTTATCAGACCAGATCTCCTGAGACTGATTTGTTCCCACAAGAACCGTGTGGGAGGGGCCTCCCCCCGACCGTGTCCCTCCCACCACCTGTGGGAATGATGGGAGCACAACTCAGGATGAGATTTGGGTGGGGACACGGCCAAACCTTATCACCTCCCGTGGGGCCCGGCCCTAAACCGTGGGACCAGTTTCTGTCTCTAAGCTCCCAAGCTGGGGAGGGTGTGCCCCGTAGCCCCACTAACAGCTCCCTCCCCTGCAAACAGCCGCCTGCCCTTCCCTTCCGTGGACCGAGGTCAGGCTCCGTGGGTGGAACCCAGGTCAGGGCCGGGGAAGTGCCTGTGTTTGGGCACAGAAGCTGATGGCAGCTCGGTGACACGGCCTCAGGCAGCGCCTACGGGTCCTTTTGCTTTTGGCCAAATGTGCGGCTGCCCAGGGTGCTCAGGGACCTGCCGGGTGGAGGAGTAGAGAGGCAGCAGCAGGGGCCTCGTCACCGTCCAGGGGTCTGAAGGACAGAGCAGGCGTCACTCCTGTCCCAGCATGACAGCGCCCCTTGACCCAGCCTAGCTCCCACGGGTGTCTCCGGGTACAGAGGTGGGACCCCCAGAGCCACTGGAAAGACGCCGGAACTTCTGGTGGCCCAAAGATTTGTAAGTGAAATGTGTCAAGAAACATGGCCCAAATGGAAACATGTTAAGCTACAACACACGAATGTATAAGAACTGTAAGAATAAGACACAGCCGTCAGGCACCCCCTGGTCAGGCTGGGCCGCCGGATTCCCTGAACTCCGCACTTCAGGCACTTGGTGGGAAAGGCGCGAGGCCAGGGTGAGGGAGTTGAGTTTGGAAGAGCAGCCTTGCCACCTTGAGCACATGTTGGGCCACTGAGCCAGGCCCTGTCCCAGAGGCAGCGTCACAGTGCAGGGCACAGCTCAGATGCGCCCACTGGACCTCAAGCACTTCTCCGGCATCTCCCAGGGGCCTGGCATGCAGAGAAGAGAGCAGACGCCTTGCCTGCCAGACCCTGTGTCCACACGGTCTCCTCCCTCTCACTCCAGCCCTAGGAAGGTGGGACTATTAATTATACCCCTGCCTTTTTTTTTTTTTTTTTAATTTGAGACAGGGTCTCGCTGTCACCCAGGCTGGAGTGCAGTGGTGCGATCACGGTTCTCTGCAGCCTCTGCATCCCAGGTTCAAGCGATCCTCCCACCTCAGCTTCCCTAGTTGCTGGAACCACAGGCACTTGCCACCCCACCCAGCTAATTTTTTAGTTTTTTGAAGGGACAGGGTCTTACGGTGTTGCCCAGGCTGGTCTTGAACTCCTGGGCTTAAGCACTGGGATTACAGGCGTGAGCCACGGTGCCCGGCCACCCCCTTAAGCACTGGGATTACAGGCGTGAGCCACGGTGCCCGGCCACCCCCTTTTACACATGACAAAGCTGAGGCTTAGTAACTCATCCACTTCCCAGCTGGTGAAGACAGGAGCTGAGCCTGGAACCCAAGCCAGCCAGGCCCCCAGACCTCTGGCAGTGGCAGGGAAGTGGGTGGGTGGAAGCCGCATCCGCCAGAGCTCCATCGAAGCAGGGTGGGGTGGGCCTGGGCGGGAGCCCCAGCCTCCCCTTGGAGATGGGCCTGGTATGGGTAGCCACGCCGCCTCCCGGACCCTGCTGGGTAGGAGCCTGGCCCTGCACCTTTGAATCCTGTCCTGGGGTTGCTGGCTGCACCTCCCGGCATCCTGAGCACCATCCCAGGAGAAAACAAATGCAGTTCTCAGAGACAGGTGCCTGCTGAGGTCAGCAAAGCCCCGTCTGTCCGTGCCTCTGGCTGTATGCGTGGCGAGGTTTTCTGAAAGAACCAGAGTGAGTGAGGGGAGCCATCTTGTGGAGGGACCCTCTGTGGCCAGTCCGCTTGTGTGATCTCTGTGGACTGATTGGGAGTTGTGGCAAATATGGCCAGAAATGGGGCCTAGTCTCGGACCGTGTCCCGGGGTTACGTGGATTTAGAGTCGATGAGGGGCGTGACCACTCAGGAGGCCATGCTGGGAAGATGCGGGAGGGGAGTCAGGACGATGGAAGGACCTGACCAAAGCGGGGTGGGGAGGGAGGCTCAGAGGAGGGTGAGCCATGTGGCTTCCCGGATGAGGAGAAGAGAAAAAGTCCGTCCTGACGGAGGCCCCGTGACAGCTGCCCTGGGCCAGGATGTTTTGGGGAGGGGAGATTGCACTGGCATCGAGCCATCCTCATTCCATCTGGAGGGATGGGGCCTGGGGGCTTCTGTGAAAGGGGCCATGAATAGACCCAGCCAGGAGACCCAGCGAACAAGGGTATCTGCTGGCCCAGGCACCTGCAGGCCCTGTCCGTTCCATCTCCCCGATTTCCACTTCACACCGTTTGCTGTTCTCTGCCCAGGGCCTGAAGCCGATGGACCACAATGGGCTGGCAGACCCCTACGTCAAGCTGCACCTGCTGCCAGGAGCCAGTAAGGTGAGGGGTTCCACCCAGGCCTGCCCACCAGCGGCACCCCCCCCACCACCTCAGGCAGTGCACGCTGGTCCTTTGGCTTTGGGGCCTGGACGGGGCTGGGGGCACCCAGGGAGGCCCACCGCTGCCACTCCCCTCAGAGCCCAAGCAAGCTGGTGGGACCTCAGCCGTTCAGCTGCACACTCAGCCGTTCAGCGTTACCTGCCTGCTGATCTGGGAATTCCAGGATTTCCAGGCCAGCATTTTATAAGAAGCAGTCTCAGTTGGAGGTTACTATTACGGACCTATCAGAGCATTTAACGTGCTGATGGGCTGTTCCTCGACTCTCCGTAAGGGGGATGAAGTGGGCGGAATCTGCCCGGTATATTTGACCACAGGATCCTCATTCCTACGCCAAGAGTCCGACCACACATGTGGAAAGGGCATCAGCACAACAGGTGCATCTAGGAGGGGAGAGAGAAATTGATGTTAAACAAAAGCATCAAGGTGACCTTGAGCTGTGGAAAATCAGAACTTAATTAGACTTCCTTCTGTGCATCGTGCACTTCAGTGCTGTTTTATGTTTAATTTCATGGGGCAGAGTCTGAGTTGACTTGGGGGCCTAAACGGGCAGGCCTGGGCCCGCAGCCATCCAGGAGGCCCACCCCAGAAGAGGCCGTTCCCCCGTCCCTCGGGAAGGCAGGGCTGTGTGAGAAACAGCAGTGCCCCACCACCTCCTCCTGGGGAAGAAATGGGCTCCCCACGCTGGGCCTCAATGTCCTTATGCTGCCAGAGGGGCTCGGGGATGCGAGGGCCGAGGGCGAGTGTGACCAGGGAAGTGTGCCCCACGTGGGAGCTCAGTGACCCCTCATTTGTGGGACTGGAGCTGGCCGTGCCTGGCTGCCGAGTTGTAGGAAGGCCCCAGGATTTTCCCCAGTGTTTTATCAAGAGCGGTCTTCTTATAAACAAGCGGGAGGGAGGGATGCCCGTGGCCTTTCCACAGCGGGAACCCTGACGCTGCCGCAGAGCTGGAATTGGAAGCCCGGACTGTCTGACCTCCCAGCCTGGGCCAGGCGTGGCAGGCATCAGACTGACTCAGACGAGGAGCTCAGAGTCGCTGGCACAGGAGGAGGGAGTGGTGGCAATATTCCAGCTCGGAGAGGCCACCCCAAGCCGGCCCGAGGACAGGATGGGTTCCAGGCAGAGGGGACAGTCCGCAAGGGAAGGGAATGCCCTGGGGAGGAGACTCCGGGTCCACACACACAGGCCTCCTGCAGACCCACCCCATGGCCTCGGGCTGGAGGTGGAGGCCTCTGTGGACGAGCCTCGAATGGCTGCGGCAACAAATGACCACAGACTTCGTGGCTTAAAGCAGCTCCCTCATTCTCTGCCTGCTCTGCAGGTGAGAAGTCCAAGCGTGGTCTCCCTGGGCTGCGTTCCTTCTGGAACCTGGGGAGCCCACCCATGTCCTGGCTCTTTCCAGCTTCTGGAGGCCGTCCACCCTCCTGGGCTCGTGGCCCTTCCTCCGCCCTCACAGCAGGCCCCGTTGCATCCCTCTGGCCGCCTGCCTTGGTGACGTCTCACTCTGACTCTCTCCTCTGCCCTTTCTGCTGTGAACAACCTGTGACCACACTGGGCCGCCCGACCATCTAGGATAATCTCCCTGTTCTAACGTCAGCTTGTTACGAACCGTAACTCCACCTGCAGCCTCGGCTCCACTTGGCCGTGTGGATGACACATTCCCAGGCTCCAAGACGAGCATGTGGCCGTCTCTGGGGGCCGTTGTTCTGTCTGACACACCCTTCGATGCTCATACGATCATCTCTCTCTTCTCCAGGCCAATAAGCTCAGAACAAAAACTCTCCGTAACACTCTGAACCCCACGTGGAACGAGACGCTCACTTACTACGGGATCACAGACGAGGACATGATCCGCAAAACGCTGCGGTAGGCGGGGCCCCGGCCGCCGGCCCCCCGCCCACCCCCGCCCGCTTGTCCTCACGAAGGCAGGACCCGGGGTCAGAGGGTCTCCTGTGGGTTCAGCCTCATGCAGGCCACCCCAGCCTGGGGGTCTGAAGAAAGGCAGAAAGGTCTGCTCACACCGGCGGAGCCTGGTGGATGGAAAGGGTCACCCGGGCCCCAGTGCCCTGAAGGTGCTTCCTGGGGCCTCTCCCGGTGCCGGCGGTTCCCTTCAGAGAACCGGCTCTCCCCACCTCCCGGCACTGGCCCCACCTTCTCCTGTCCCCTCTTCCAACCTGAGGACACTTGTCCGGGAGGACAGTACCTGACATCATGCCACACTCTGGCCCTGTCAGGGCCCAGGCATCTCGTGCGTCTCCCACCCCAGACCAGGGCAGGGCCTGGGGCAGGACAAGCCAGGGCTGGCCCTACCCGCGCACACTCCCCCCACGCCCCGTGCGTCTGAGCCGCTGGCTGTGCCTCTCACCCCCAACCCAGGATCTCTGTGTGCGACGAGGACAAGTTCCGGCACAATGAGTTCATCGGGGAGACACGCGTGCCCCTGAAGAAGCTGAAAGCCAACCACACCAAGACCTTCAGTATCTGCCTGGAGAAGCAGCTGCCGGTGAGAGGAGTCGTTGAGCGCCTGCCGTGTGCCTGGCTCGGTGGCAGGTGCTGGGAAGGCAGAACTTCCTGCCCGTGGGGGGGCTACTGAGGGGCAGAGTGAGAGGGGAGGGGAGATGAGGAGGTGAGCGTGGAGGGGCGGAGGGAGGACCCTGGCTTTCACTCTGAGTGGCCACGGGAGGGCGCGAAGCTGAGGGAGTGCGGGGGATGACAGTTTACCAGGCTCGCTGGCCTGGGCTCAGGATGGCTTGAAGAAGAGGGAGGAGAGGGCAGGAGGCCCGGGGAGATGGGGAGAGATGGGCACAGCCCTGGCCTGACCTTGGCGGCGGTAGGAGAGCTTGACTCTGAACCGGATGTCCGGGCAGCAGATGGGACATCCCTGGGTGAGGGAAGGGCAGGTCCGAGGTTTGGGGCCGGAGCCACCGGAGCCTGAGGGGCTGTTCGCGGCACTCAGAGGACCGTAGCAGGGGCCACGGGTGGACGGGACTCCCAGGGAGCGTGCTTGGAACGTGTCAGACTTGAGTGCCTGTGAGATACTCAGAGGAGACAGAATGGCCTTTGTCTGAACGTTATGTCAGAACAGATTGTGCCCCCTGGCCTGCTCCAGCAGCTACGCCCTCCCGCGTCTTGGCCTCTATGTCCCTCTTCCCTGCCCCACCCTCCCCTGTCTCTGGCCTGGCCTTCACCTGGTTCATAGGGCTGATGAAGCCAGGAGTCCCTAGTGCCACCAGGGTCAAGAGAAATGCCGGGGCCTCAGCCTCCCAGTGTTCAGGACCCAGGCAGAGGCTGGGCAAGGGGCCAGTTCAGAAGGACAAAGCCCAGCGGTTGTCCCCAGTGTACCCAGCCCCAGTGGGCCCGGGGATGTGGACTCAAGTCAAGCCCTGGGGGTGAGTCAGCCTGTGGCCAGGGCTTCTTCCCAGAATCCCAGTTGTTTTTTCATAATTTGATCCAATGTTATTCCCTTGTCACATTCTCCCCCACTCAGACATTCGTGTGATGGGTACAACCTTTTCTGGTTTATTGTTAGTCACTCGCCACAGGTAACCCAGTTTTTCCATATGATCTATGTCACTTAAGAAAGGCAACGTCTTGGGAGGCCAAGGGAGGTGGATCACGAGGTCAAGGGTTCAAGACCAGCCTGGCCAACATGGCGAAACCCCATCTCTACTAAAAATACAAAAATTAGCCAGGGGTGGTGACGGGCGCCTGTAATCCCAGCTACTCAGGAGGCTGAGGCGGGAGAATTGCTTGAACCTGAGAGGCGGAGGTTGCAGTGAGCCGAGATCACACCACTGTACTCCAGCCTGGGTGACAAGAGGAAGATTCTGTCTCAAAAAAAAAAAAAAGAAGAAGGAAAAGGCAACACCAGCCGTACTGTAGTGTTCCCGAGTTTTGATCACTGGCATAAACAAGCACGTAGGGGTGTGCTTGTGTGTGACTTGTGCGTAAGAGCGTGTGTCAGTACATATCTGTGTGTGACTGCGTGTGTGTGCTGTGTGTTTGTGAAGCATGTGCATCTCCGTGCATGGCCGTGATCACGGCATTACTGGGTGCGCTACCAGCTCATTGGTGCCGCTCAGGGACTCACAGTGACCACAGGAGTACAGTCTGGGATACACCCCTGGCAGTAAAGCCACATTCTGGTGATACTTTTATTTTATTTTTATTATTTTTTTTGAGACCAAGTCTTGCTCTGTCACCCAGGCTGGAGTTCAGTGGCACAATCTTGACTCACTGCAACCTCTACCTCCCGGGTTTAAGCACTTCTCGTGCCTCAGCCTCCCGAGTAGCTGGGACTACAGGCCTGCGCCACCATGCCTGGCTAATTTTTGTATTTTTGGTAGAGACGGGGTTTCACCATATTGGCCAGGTGTCTCAAACTCCTGACCTCGAATGATCCACCTGCCTCAGTCTCCCAAAGTGCTGGGATCACAGATGTGCACCACCATGCCTGGTTAATTTTTGTATTTTTAGTAGAGACAGGGGTTCGCCGGGTTGGCCAGGCAAGTCTCGAACTCCTGACCTCCGGTGATCCTCCTGCCTCAGCCTCCCAAAGTGCCGGGATTACAGGCGTGAGCCCCTGTGCCAGGCCTCTGGTGGTACATTTAGAATTTACAGTCTGCGAACATTGTCTGTTTTAAGTCAATACTGAGCAGTACCCAACGGTCTTCATATGAAACAACCCAAAGCACAATATCCCAGCCCTGAAAAAACAGCGAAAGATGTCCCTGCTGGTGGTGGTGGTGGTGGTGGTTTTGAGACGGGGTCTCGCTCTGTTGCCCAGGCTGGAGTGCAGTGGTGCCATCTCGGCTCCCTTTGACTTCCACCTGCTGGGTTCAAGTGATTCTCCTGCCTCAGCCTCCCAATAGCTGGGATGACAGTCTCCTGCCACCACGCCTGGCTAATTTTTGTGTTTTTAGTAGAGACGAAGTTTCACTCTGTTGGCCAGGCTGGTCTCGGACTCCTGACCTCAGGTGATCTGCCCGCCTCGGCCTCCCAAAGTGCTGGGGTTACAGGTGTGAGCCGCTGTGCCCGGCCCCTGCTGGTTTATATTGTCTAATTTTCACACCACACACACTGACACAGGCAGCACAGTGCCTCGAGGCCTCACACACGAAGCTCTGCCTGAGGGGCAGATGGCGAGATCTCGCAGGCCTGGCCTGATGCACTGGGAACGGCTGCCTGGGCACTGTTGAAAAGGACTCTGAGGGGGCATTGGAGCTCAGGGCAAATGCTGAGATCGATTAGCCATGCCTGCTCTGGGCGTGGGAGGTGGTGAAGGTGGCCGGTGGGGCGTGTGTGTCCTCCCTGCTCGACATCCCTGCTCACCTCACAGGACTCTCATCTCCAGAAAGGGTTGGATGTAGCCAGAGGGACTCACTCGGTGCTAGGCAGGGCACAGTTGTGAGTAAAAGGGTGTGGCTGGGCCTGCTTAGGAGAGGAGCCTGGCAGAGTCCTAAGGGGACCCAGGGGGACACAGGGCTCAAGCTGGGTATGTCCGGCTGGGCTGAGGCCCCGGAGAGAGAGTTTGGGTGCGCAGCAGCTGGAAGGAAGAGGCCAGGTGGTCTTGGGAGGTCAAGGAATGGAGAAGCCTCAGTCTGGCTGGGGATGGGGAGGCCTGGAACTGAGATCTGCCCTGAGAGGCAGGCACCGGGCAGCTGCTGAGGCAGGGGAGGGGACTGAGTGGCCTCCCCACCGCGCTCCCAGCTTCCCCAGGGTGAGGAAAGTACCAGAGCTCTGTCTCCTGGTTCTCCTGAGGGAGCCGCCTCCAGCACCCTCAGAGGCTTCAGGAAGCACCTTCAGGGGACCGGGGCCAGGGTTACCCTTTTCCATCCACCAGGCTCCGTTGGCATCGGCAGACGTTTCTGCCTGCCTTTGAACCCTCCAGGCTGGAGTTGCTTGTGTGAGGTTGAACACACAGGGGTCCCTCCACTCCTGCCTTCACTAGTATAAGCCTCCAGTGGGCCTTTAGTGCCAGGCCCTTGCCCAGCCCTGAGGTATTAAAGATGATGCAGGTATTAGCCAGATGCAGTGGCTCATACCCATCATCCCAGCACTTTAGGAGGCTGAGGCAGGTGGATCACTTGAGGTCAGGAGTTCGAGACCAGTCTGGCAAATGTGGCAAAATCCTGTCTCTACCAAAAAAACACAAAAATTAGACTGTGGTTCTAGCTACTCAGGAGGTTGAGGCAGGAGAATCGCTTGAACCCGGGAGGCGGAGGTTGTAGTGAGCCAAGATCGTGCTACTGCGCTCCAGTCTGGGTGACAAGAGTGAGACTCTGTCTCAAAAAAAAAAAAAAAAAAATGTACAGGCAGAGTTCGAACTTCAAGGAACTTAGAGGTTGGGGCCGACCCATGAGGAAGCAGGGGGTCACGCAGGCCATGGCAGGATAAACCCGAGGCAGTGGGCACACACAGGGGACGGCCAACCCACCCCGAGGGTCAGAAAAGCCCCCAGGCCCAGAAGGACCAGGAATTTATCAATGGTGAACTCAGAGGAGGATGCTGGAGCTGTGGATTAAGCGTGCACAGAGGTGTGGAGGTGGGACCCGGCCTCAAAGCCGAGGGACCGCAGAGAAAGTCAGGGTGGGCCGTGAGGAGGACCTGGCGGAAGACCCTCTGTGGAGGCCGAGCACGCCAGGCCGGGGGCTGCAGAGCTGTGAAGGGCCGGTTAGCGCATGTCAGGGTCCGTGCACCACGCTGTCTGTGGCTGCCACGCCGCTCTGTCCTTAGAGCAAAAGCAGCCATAGAGAAGGCATCCAGGAGCCGGCAAGGCTGTGTTCCAATGACATGTTATTAATGGAAGCCGAAGTGTGAATTTCATATCATTTTCATGTGTCACAAAATATTTTTCATTTCGTTTTTCTTTCTGCTATTCTGAAAGGAACCAGCTGGGCACGGTGGCTCACGCCTGTAACCCCAGCACTTTGGGAGACCAAGGTGGGAGGATCCCTTGAGCCCAGGAGTTTGAGATCAGCCTGGGCAACATAGTGAGACCCCGTCTCTCTTTTTTTGAAAAAGAAACTTTTTTTAAAAAGGGTAAGAGCCACTCTTAGCTCACATCCCATACAGAGCCAGGCGTCGGGCCTGATCTGGCCCCCGGGCCGCAGTTGCCGATCCCTGGGCTGGCCCTTGCTGGGCTGTGAAGGGCACCCCAGGCCATGCAGCCAAGAACAGGGAGGGTGAGGGTCAGATCCACCCCCAGCAGAACCCTTGGGAGGGAAGAGAGGACAGAGGCCTGTGAGTTCACAGTGTGGCCACTCACCAGGGACCCTGACCGGGCCTGGCTGCAGCAGCGAGCGTGGGTGGGCTCAGGAAGAGGAGGCCAAGTATGGCCAAGAGAGGGGTAGGAGCAGGTGAGGACTGAGTGACCGTCCCGTCCAACAGGTGGACAAGACGGAAGACAAGTCCCTGGAGGAGCGGGGCCGCATCCTCATCTCCCTCAAGTACAGCTCGCAGAAGCAGGGCCTGCTGGTGGGCATCGTGCGGTGCGCACACCTGGCCGCCATGGACGCCAACGGCTACTCGGACCCTTACGTGAAAACGTGAGTGTGCTGCGCGCGTGACCAGCTGCCACCTCTTCACCTCTAAGGACGGGGATCCGTGTGCCGGCTCCGTGGTCTCAGGTGGCAGGCACCCAGGGAGTACTTGAGGTACAGGGGCGCCGTGTTCCCTGATGGGCTCCCTTGGCAACTCCAGGGGTTAAACATGGCCAGCCCACTTCACAGATGGGGAAACTGAGGCCCAGAGAAGCTGAGTGGCTTCCCAGAGTCATGCAGATATTAGTTATCACCTGATGCTATGTCCAGGCCTCTCTGTGACTGAGGGGCCCAGGAGGGGCCATGAGGAGGTCGGAGGAGGGGACAGAAGGCGGGGCCAGTGCCAGGGGTAGCCAGGAGGCTGGGGGAGGTGGCAGAGGAACTCTGCCAGGCCTTGGCAAGTGCCCACATGTGCCCAGCCCTATACTGGGGCCACAGATGCAGATAAGAGTCCACCCAGCTCTACCAACAGGGGCTGATGGTGGTCCTGGGAAGAGACACTGACTCAGGGTCCATGCCAGGTGACCTGGGCCTCAGAGCTGTGGACCTGTGAGCCTGGTCAGGAGAGGCCCAGGCAGGAGCTGGCGACCCTTTGGAGAGGGGTGGCGCAGGTGCCACAGTGACTACCGTCAGTGCCTGGGGCTGTCCAGAAACTTGGTAGGTATGAGTGTGAGATCACAGGGAGATGCTGGAAAAGCGAGACTTGGAGAGGGATTCAGTTCGCAGAAAGGAGAGGCAGGTGCTTCAGGGAGGGGATGACAGAGGAATGGCCCTGACCCAGGGGACACCAAGGACCCAGGGGACTAAGGCCTCAGGGACATCCTGGCACCATGAAGAGGCCGATACTGCTCATGGCACAGCTCTGGGGGCACCATTCCCATGGCCATGATCATATTTCTGTCACTTTAAAAATTGTATGTGGCAGGTACAGTGACTTACACTTACATTCCCAACACTTTGGGAGGCCAAGGCAGGAGGATCGCTTGAGGATAGGAGTTGAGAGAACATCCTGGGCAACATAGTGAGGACCCCGTCTCTAAAAAAAAAAAAAAAAAATTAGCTGGGTATAGTGGCATGCTCCTGTAGTCCTAGCTACTTGAGAGGATTGCTTAAGCCCGGGGAATTGAGACCAGCTTGGCAACATCCTGAGACCTTGTCCTCTACAGTTTAAAAATAATAATAAATTTGGCCGGATACAGTGGCTCATGCCTATAACCCCAGTACTTTGGAGGCCGAGGCATATGGTATCACTCAGCCTGGCCAATATGGGAAACCCTGTCCTCTACTAAAAATAAAAAAATTAGCCGGGCATGGGGCTCATGCCTGTAATCCTAGCACTTTGGGAGGCTGAAGGTGGGCGGATCACCTGAGGCGGTCGAAGTCCGAGACCAGCCTGACCAACATGGAGAAACCCCGTCTCTACTAAAAATACAAAATTAGCCGGGTTGGTGGTGCATCCCTGTAATCTCAGCTACTTGAGAGGCTGAGGCAGGAAATCGCTTGAACCCACTGAGCGGAGATTGCAGTGAGCAGAGATCATGCCATTACACTCAACCTGGCAACAACACGGTAAAACTCTGTCTCAAAAAAAAAAAAAAAAATTAGCTGGGCATGGTGGCAGGAGCCTGTAATCCCAGCTACTTGGGAAGATGAGGCAGGAAAATCACTTCAACCTGGGAGGTGTAGATTGCAGCGAGCCGAGATCGCACCACTGCACTCCAGCCAGGGTGACAGAGCAAGACACTGTCTCAAAATAATAATAAATAAATAAAAATAACATGACAATAATGGATGGCTACTTGGGGAACACCCAATCAGTCCCTCAGAAAGTTAAACAGAGTCACCATTTGATCTGGCAATTCCACTCCTAGTTATATACCCAAGAGATAAGAAAAACACATCCATCCTAAAACTTGTGCAGGAATGTTCATAGCACTATTCACAACAACCAAAAGTGGAAACAGCCCAAGCATCCATCCACTGATAAATGGATACACAAATGAGGTCTGTCCCTGCAGTGGAATATCAGCCCTAAGAAGGAGTGCAGCACTGGTGTGTGGAATATCAGCCCTAAGATGGAGTGTAGCAGGTGCGTGCTACACCGTGGGTGGACCTTGAAATCAAGATGCTAAGTGAGAGAAGCCAGATACAGAAGGCCACGTATTGCAGGACTTTATTTCTATGAAGTGTCCAGAATAGGTCAACCCACAGAGGCAGAGGGTAGATTTGTGGTTGCAGGAGCCAGGGGAAGCTTGAGGGGACATGGGCAGTGGCTGCTGAAGGGTTCTAGGTTTCCTTCTGGGGTGATGAAAATGTTTTAAATTTGATTGTGACGATGACTGCATAATTCTGTGAATATACCAAAAACCACTGAATTATACACCTAAAGGGGTGCATTGTACAGTATGTGTATTATGTCTCAAAAAATCTGTTATTAAAAATCCAATCACACTAGGCTCCAGCAGCAAAGCCCGGGACCTGCTGCATCTTTGGGGGAAGTTAGGCTTCCAGAAAGAGCACAGGGCTACTGGTTTTCTATGTGGAAAACACTAAAGTGGGCTCCGGCCTCAACAACTTACCAAACAAAGTATCCAGTGCACTAGAGACCTGAGTGTTGGGGGAAGCTCTGTGAATGCTGAGAAGACACTCAGGAGACTCCCGTAATAACCATTGGAGAGAAAGTTGGCAATATCCAGTCGACGTGGGAAATGCGTGTGCCCTGTGGCCACATTATTTTCCTTCCAAGTTTATTTCCTAGAAACCTGGGCATGGGTGGGTAGCTATTTATCACAGCATTGCTTGTAATAGCTATAAACTGGAAATAGCCAAACATTCATCCTCAGAGGAATAGATTAATAAAATGTGGCATATGTGTAGAATATAGTACTATGCAGTTAAAAATGAATAAATTAGAACTAGATGAATTATTATAACATGGACAGCTGTTGAAGACACACCAAATGACACACAGTAGGATACTGGGTTGTGTCTATATATTTTTTCTTCTGATTGTCATTGACTTGAATCTCATTCGTATATATCCTTGCAGGAGGATATGCAATCTGAAGCCCAAATGGTGTGGTTTTGTGTTTTTTGTTTGTTTGTTTGTTTGTTTTTGAGACAGAGTCTTACTCTGTTGCCCAGGCTGGAGTGCAGTGGCCTGATCTCAGCTCACTGGAACCTCTGCCTCCCAGGTTCAAGTAGTTCTCATCCCTCAGCTTCCCAAGTAGCTGGGATTACAGGCATGCATCACCACGCTCGGCTAATTTTTGTATTTTTAGTAGACAGGGTTTCACCAGGGTGGCCAGGCTGGTCTTGAACTCCTGACCTCAAGTGATCCGCCCGCCCTGGCCTCCCAAAGTGCTGGGATTTCAGGTGTGAGCCTCTGTGCCCAGCCTATGGTGTGAAACTTTCAAACCAGTTTCAATGCTCACCTGCCAGATGGACAGGAATTCCAGGGTCACCTGCTGGGTTGCCCAGAAAGCAGAGTCTTACCTGCTGTGACAGACAGTCTGGTCAACTTCCACAGGCAAGCAGGGGGCCGCCTGGGCAGGGCCTGTCTGCTGTGCCACAGGCTCCTCCCTGCCACAGGTGGCTGTTGCGGGTGCTGCTGGACATCTGCAGCTGGGTCCCACCTGCCAGCCACGTCTCAGGTCACGTGGCCTTTCAAAGTCACGCCAAGCTGTGGGCCACTCCCTATATCTGAGCCACACGTCACCTGAGACCTCCACGTCTGTTTCAGACTCCCTGAGTGAGACACGAGGGCTGCTGCTCGGGTCTCCTCAGGGGTCCCCATCTCTGAAAGGCCCCTTCATGGACCAAGGGCCTTTTCGTCACTAAAGGCAGGGGAAATGAGGGCACAGGTTAGATGGTAAAAGGGGCACCCCTCAGCTGCATCCTAGACCTGGAAGGGAGTGTGACCTGTGCCCCAGAAGACAGGGAGGGACGTATCCAGCGGTTGATGCTGAGGGCCAAAGCTAGATGGGTCAAGGCCTTCTGTCTGCACTATTATTTTTATTTATTTTCTTTATTTCTTCCTATCTTTTTTTTTTTTTCTTATTTTAAATTTTTTTTTTTGAGACGGAGTCTTGCTCTGTCACCCAGGCAGGAGTGCAATGGCGCAATCTCGGCCCACTGCAAGCTCCACCTCCCGGGTTCAAGCGATTCTCCTGCCTCAGCCTCCCGAGTAGCTGGGACTACAGGCGCCCGCCACCATGTCCGGCTAGTTTTTTGTATTTTTAGTAGAGACGGGGTTTCACCGTGTTAGACAGGATGGTCTGGATCTCCTGACCCTGTGATCCGCCCGTCTCGGCCTCCCAAAGTTATTTCTTCCTATCTTTTTTGAGACAGTGACTCACTCTGTCACCGGGCTGGAATGCAGTGATGCGATCATAGCTGACAACAGCCTCAAACTCCTGGGCTCAAGCAGTTCTTCTACCTCAGCCTCCCGAGTAGCTGGGACTACAGGTGTGTGCCACCATGCCTGGCTAGTTGTTTTTTGTATTTTTTGTAGAGACTGGGTTTTGCCATATTGGCCAGGCTGGTCTCAAACTCTTGGACTCAAGCGATCCTCCTAGCTCGGCCTCCCAAAGTGCTGGGATTACAGGTGCAAGCCACCATGCCCAGCTATGCACCGTTATTTTTATAAACCTCATCTCTGGTGACACTTGCCCCAGTTTCCCTGGAAGTTGACCCCAGGCCCAGCTCTTGAGGGTTTGTGGGAAAACCCCAGGAGTAACAGTGCCTGTGACAATCGCTGACATGTCGAGTTACACGTAATATCCCTGGGTGGTGCGATGGCTGAGTGTGACCCTCCCAGCAGCCTGTGCAGTCGCCCCTGTTATTATCTCCATTTCATGCCAGTGAAAATGGCGGTAACTGGCAGTAACTTGCTGTGCCACCCTGGGCAACTCCCTTCTCTGGCTCTCTTATGTATAACCAGAAGGGGTTTCTTCTCGAAGCCACAGGCAAGCGGAAGGTGCTGTGCAGAAGGGCCAGAGGTACATGGCACAGGGTGGCTCCATGAGCCCCAGTGGCCAGGGCCACTGTCCTGACAGCAAGGGAGACAGAGACGCCACAGGGCAGGCCTCCGGGGCTTTGCAGGGTGGGCTGGTGCCAGAGCAGGGTGTGCGCAGGGAGGGTGCTGAGGGATCTCCGCAGAGTGGTCAGGTGAGGAGGGAAGGGCGCTCCTGGCAGGGAAAGCAGAACAGAGGGCAACGCTGGTGGAACTGTGCGTAGCTGAACGTGCTGAGGCTGGTGCCTGTTGTGGAAGTCTGGTGGCTGAGTGAGGGGTCAGCAGATGGGCACAATGTCCAGGCTGAGGGCGCAGAGATCCCAAAACCACTTTCCTTCCAGGGGCCTGTGAAGGCCGGGCATGCAGGACGCTTCTGTCCTTGCTCCTCACCCGTTACCAAACAGGCCAAGGACAATTCACAGCAGACACAAAACCAATACGTAGCGAAATGGCCAAGGAGCCTAGTAAGTAACTAAGGAAATCCGCTGTCTCCGGTGGTGGGCTTCGGGGAATCTCCCCAACCTTCTTTTTTAAATCACGTTTATTGAGGTACAGGTTGAGTGTCCCAAATCCGTAAATCCAAAACCCCAAACATTTCAAGCACCGACATGACGCTTAAAGGAAATGCCCATTGGAGCGTTTGGGATTTCAGATTTTTGAATTTTTGAAATTTTGAATTAGGGATGCTGAACTGGTAAATAGACTGCAAATATTACAAAATATGAAAAAAATCAAAATTCAAAACATCTGGTCGAAGCCTTTCAGATAATGGATCCTCAACCTGTATCATTCATACCCAGTGAGTTTTTCTTTTGTTTTCTTTTCTTTTTTAGAGACAGGGTCTTGTCCTGTCGTCCAGGCTGAAGTGCAGTGGTGCAATTATAGCTCATTGCAGCCTTGAACTCCTGGGCTCAAGCGATCTTCCCACCTCAGCATTGTGAATACCTGGGACTACAGGCATGCACCACCATGCCCAGCTAATTTTTAGTTTTTTGATAGAGATGGGATCTCACTGTATCGTCCAGGCTGGTACAGTCTTGTTTCCACCACCACAATCAACATACAGAATATGACCCCGGAAAGTTCCCCAGCCCCAGGCAACCACTGACCTGTTTTCTGTCTCAATAGTGTTGCCTTTTCCAGATTTTCCCATGAAGCAGTCAGATAGTGTGTCTGTGAAGCCCCGTGAATCTGGCTGCTTTGACACAGAGAAATGCGTTAGATTCATCTGTCAGTTGCATGTACCAGGAGTTTGGTCCTTTCTGTTGCGGAGTGGTCTTCCGTTGTTGGTTAGTTCCCCGGTTGAAGGGTGTGTGGTCGTTTGCAGTTTTTGGTGGTGGTAGAAAGCTGCAATGAACAGGTTTTTGTGTGGACATATGTCTTCATTTGTCTCTCCTAATCCCAACTTTTGTCCATATGCATTTTCTAGTGCTTCTATAATAAACCAGTATTATTTATGCCATGAAAGTCACAATTTTAAAATATGCAAAGTAAAGCAACTATGAGATATCCTTTTCTGCCTCTCAAACCAGCAAGGATTTTTTAAGTGACAGCATTCAGCTTTGTCACAGGCACTGTGTGTCAACCGTGCAGCCTTCCTGGAGAGGAACTGGCAAAATAAGCCAGACATGGGCGTGCCTTTGGGCGGTGCCTTCACTTCTAGGGATTCAGGTATTCGTTGGACAGATGTTTGTTCAGCCCCCCAGTGCCAGGCGCAAGGAGTTGGTAGTGGGCGAGACCGCAGAGCACGCTCAGCACGGACAAGACAGTTGTCATGAGTTATCCATGCAGGAAGAGGGGGAGTTTTGCAAAGAAGTTGAGGACCTCTTGTCCCCTTCTCCAGCCTGCACATGACCTCCCTGTCATACAGAAAGAAGCCTGAGCCTGGCTTCCAAGCACCACGCTTGTGCTTGCCGGCTGTGTGACCTTGGGCAAGTCACTCCACCTCTCTGGGCCTCAGAGGGAGACAGCCGTTCTGCATCAGAGTCTAAGGCCTGAATGGCTGTGGAGGGAAGAACATCTGTGTGGCCTCCCTGTTACTGCACAAAAGGTCTTGTCCTTCCTCAGAGCTCCAACGAGGTAGTGGTGACGGTTGTACAACTCTGCAAGTCTACTAAAGGCCACTGCGTTTTATACTTCAGAAAGATTGATTTTATGGTATGTGAATTATATCTCAACAAATCTATTTTATAAAAGAAGCTTGAGTCCGGGCGTGGTGGCTCGTGCCTGTAATCCCAGCACTTTGGGAGGCTGAGGCAGGTGGATCACCTGAGGTCAGGAGTTCGAGACCAGTCTGGCCAACATGGTGAAACCCTGTCTCTACTAAAAATAAAAAAATTAGCTGGGCGTGGTGGCGGGTGCCTGAAATCCCAGCTACTCCAGAGGCTGAGGCAGGAGAATCGCTTGAATCTGGGAGGTGGAGGTTGCAGTGAGCCGTCTCAAAAAAAAAAACTTTGAACAAGAGACCAACTCTGCTAAAAGCTCTGTTCTGGTGGGAAACGTGAGCCTGATGAAAATTAGGCTTCCAGAAATGAGGAAAAATCCCTTCCCTAGGGGGATGGAGGCCCCCCCACCATGGTTCACTTCAGGAGCGTGTGTGTGAACAAGGGGATGGAGGCCCCCCCACCATGGTTCACTTCAGGAGCGTGTGTGTGAACCGAAGGGCGGTGGATAAAGGGACCACTTGCTTCTCGAAAACAATGTCTCGCCTTTGCCACAAAATAGCGTTGGGAAAATGCAATGATTAGGACAAAAGAAGGGTCCAGGAATCTCTCCAGGGACAGAAAGCTCTTCGAATCCCTGCTGGCTTGATCTATACCCCATAGCATGTCCCCATCCTCTGCCTGTCCCTTGGCTGTAATTCCAGATACCTGAGGCCAGATGTGGACAAGAAATCCAAACATAAGACAGCGGTGAAGAAAAAAACCCTGAACCCGGAGTTTAACGAGGTATGAGGGGCTGGTGAAGCTTCACGAAGGCCACTCCTCTGCCCCGGGGCGGTGGGGGTGTGGCTGGGTTTTCAAAAGGTCATGGTGGGATGGGGAGGGTGGTCAGAGATGGTGGGGAGGGGCCGCACCAAGCCACAGACACAGGGGAGCTGGGGGACCCCTGGAAAGCTCTTGGTAGGACTTGTCGGATGTAGGGCTGGGGAGAGGGAAGTGTTGAGGGGTGTCCTGGGTTCCTCATGGAGGCCACGGGGCGAAGAGGGGGGTGAGGAAGATGGGGAGAAGCTCTGTGTGGGACAAGGGGACTGGAGTCACCCTGGGGCCCCAGGAAGGTCTTCAGCCCAAGGTGGCGAGTACAGCAGGAAACGCGACTCCCCCCAAGGAACAAGAAGGAAAGAAGAGCGGAGGGGCATTGGGTGGAGCCCACGCCACACCCGTGGTCCAGAGGCAGGCAGGGGAGGCTGAGAAGATGCTTCCGGGAAGTGAGGGGAACCCCGGATGGAAGGGAGGGTCCCACAAGCTGTGGGAAAGAGGGACCCACAGAAGGGAGGGGTCAGCAAAGCCAGGCCCCAGAGAGGCCCAGGACGACAGGGACTGAGGGGCGGGCAGTGCCTCTGCAGTAAGGAGGCTCCCAGGATATGGGGAGAGCAGGCTCAGGGACAAGGAACAAGTGGGCGAGGGGATGGGGGCCCTGAAAACCCCGGCTGAGCTCGGGGAAGTGGGCGAGACGTGTGAACGTCCACCCGTCGTCCACCCTGAGCACTGATCACCCCCATCCCCCCTCTTTCCCTACACCTCATACCCCTCCTGGCCACTGGCCGAGGCCCAGCCTCGTGGCATCAGCCCTGACGCTCCCTTCTGCCCAGCAGGAGTTCTGTTACGAGATTAAGCATGGGGACCTGGCCAAGAAGTCCCTGGAGGTCACCGTTTGGGATTACGACATTGGAAAATCCAACGATTTTATTGGTAAGGGCACACAGTGGGAGCATCGTCTCGTGTGTGCCTGTCCTGGATCAGGCCACAGCCCCTCCTTCCTGGTCCCTGCGGGAAGCTGGAGCCACCGACCACCTGTCCCCAGACCTGAGGGGCCTCAGACCTTCTCCAGCCTGAGCGCTGTGCCCCAGGAAGAGACAGGCCCAGAGAGGGACGGAGTTCTGGGAGGGCCACACAGCACTGTGTGGTGGAGCACAGACAAGAGACGATGATGGGCAGTGCCTCGGGCTGGACTCGGAACCCTAGAGGCCCCAGATTCCTGGTGGGCCTGGTGGCTACGCACAGTGGGGCTGCCCGGCCCTTTCTCCCCTCTTCGGGCCCCATTCCTTGAGCCCTGACACTGCCTCTGCACCCTGCCCCTATCCCTGCCCTGGTGGAAGAGGGACAGGATGGCTGGGCCCTGACGGGGCTGGAGTGTGGCATGGAGGGCAGGTCCTGTTCATGCTCGGAACCCAGCGGGCAGTGGGAGAGGCTGGCCTTTGAGCACAGAACCTGGGAGGGGGCACGGGTCCCACGCCTGGGAGTCGGGGGTCCCTGTGCCCCGGCTGCCCCTCCTGTCCTCCCGCAGGTGGCGTGGTTCTGGGCATCAACGCCAAGGGGGAGCGTCTGAAGCACTGGTTTGACTGCCTGAAGAACAAGGACAAGCGCATCGAGCGCTGGCACACACTCACCAGCGAGCTCCCGGGGGCCGTGCTCAGCGACTGACGCCCGCCTGCCACTGCCACCCCCACCGCCACCTGCGCCCAGCACGGCCGGCCTAGGCTTCCCCAGCAGCCACCAAGGCCTGTGGCCCCCACATTGGGGGAGATCCAGAACCCCTGCTTGGACCCAGAGCCACTGCAGTCCCCGCTCGGAGGCCGTGGAGGGCTCAGCCACTCTGGGACGGGGAGGGCAGGGAGCTGGGGGTGCTCTCAGCCCTCTGGGGCCCAAGAGGCCGGTGGTGGAAGGAGACCTCAGCACCTGCCCAGGGGAAGGGGACAGGCCCATCTGGGAGCAAAGACCTTCTGGAGGCCAGCCCAGGCTGAGAGGACAGGAGTGTGGGGGCACCCTGGGGACAGTGGGAACAGAGGAGGGAGGTGGTGAGCAGACAGACAGGTGGAGGACGGGACCTTGAAGACCGACGGCTCCAGCCCAAGGAAGGCTGACCGCATCCCTCATCTCCATCGCTGCTGGGCCGAAAGTCTGCAGAGTTCCCGGAGGCTCCTGATGAGGGTAAATTGGCACAGGCTTCACTCAATGATTCCACAAGCCCTGCGGGTGGGTGAGACACAGGGCCTGCCCTCAGGGAGTTCCCGTCTAGTCAGGGAGCTGGGAACAAACCACTCCAACTGGGGCGGGAAATACTGAGACCAGCCTGGCCAGTCTGCAAACACCACGGGCTCTGCTGACGGCCGGGAGGTCAGGGAAGGCTTCCTGGAGGAAGCGGTGCTTCTGTAAGGCCTTGGAGGGTGAGTGGGGAGTTCTAGGTTTAAAAAGGCCTGGAGGAGAGAGAAGGCCAATGGGGCTGGGGAACCATGGACCCAGGGTCCCCTCTCCGAGGCAGGGTTTGTTAGGAAGGTGTGAGGCTTGAGGCAGGAGGTGGGGGAAGTGATGGAAGCACCAGGAGAAACTGGTGCTGGTGCAGGGCCAAGTTCAGACCTCAGACCCAAGTCTCCCACTTTGATCTCTTTCCACTCCTGAGGGACCTCGAGGACGGAGCCCGCCACTCCTTCCGGCATAAGCATCAGGTCAGCTGCAGTGGAGAAAGGGGTCCCTTGGGCTTGGAAAAAAAGCAAGCGTTCCTGTACATCCTCAGTCTGCCCTTTCCCTTCCCCTCCACTTCCTGGCTCACAATGAGTACTGGGGGCCTCCAGGTGCTTGCTCATGGCATGTTGGTCCTACCACCACCACAGATGTCCCTTCTGGGAGTAATCAGTGGCAGTCCAGGGCCCTGTCTCTGGGGAGGCCTGTGGGGCTGGCTCCACCCTCCAGGAGCTGAGCAGGAATCGCCCTGCCTGGTGGGCCTGTCTGCTTCCCTGAGTTCGGCTCCCAGGAGGCTTGAGAGTATCTGAGTCTTGGGGCCCATGCCTGAAGCCCACAAACTTTCCCTGCCTACCAAGGGGCCCCCAGGAACACTGGGTGAACAAATGCAGAGCCAAGGTGTTGCACAGCCAGACTTCTTTTGGTCAGCCCATCAGTGTGTGATGGAAACAGAGGCCCAGAGAGGTTAGGTGACCTGCTCAGGGCCTTCCAGCCCCCACAGGGCTGGAACCAGGATCCACAGCCCCCAGCCCAGAGTGCTGGACCTGACACTTCAGGGGAATTGCTGTGCTGAGCTCACATGAGAGAGGTCCTGCTAGCTGCCAGCCTGGGGCTCACCCGCCTGCTGCGCGCCCCCCTTCAACACCGTTAGAGGGACTGACAGGCACGATGGTGGGAACTTCCACTGCAGACACAAAGCACACCACCACCTGAGGTGCAGGGTCATGATTTGAATCCCACCAAGTGCCCATCATGCCTTTCCCAGGTTGCAGGGAAAACAGGACCCCAGCCCTACACGGTCCCTGGCCACCTGCTGCTCATGGAGCCTTGTCTGCCCACCTTTAGGAAGGGTTTTGTGTGTGAAGGCGTTTGCATGCACTTGTCTGAATGCGTCTTCACAGCCCTGCAAGGTGGATTTGATTCTCATCCCCATCTTGCAGGTGAAACATGTTCCCAGAGTCGGAGTAGTTTGCCAAGGCCACAGAGCCAGGAAGGGGTGAGCCAGGACTCAAACCCAGGTCTTATGACTGCCACTTTCTCTCTCTGGGGGTCGGTACCCCCAGTCCCTTCCCTCCTGGTCTGTCAGAGACTCAGCGGAGACCCCAGGTGTAGGCTCAGTAAGCTCGGTGCATGATGGAGACCTGGGGTCTTGCCACTGTCCTGCCCCCTCGTCCGCTGGCTTTGAAACCATCTGTGCTACTTCAGGCTTCCCCAGAGGTGCCTAACCCGGCCCCAAAATTCAGCCACCCCACCCTAGCCTCTGGGGGCTAAGGCAAGGGCCCCTCTTTTCTCCACACAGAATGGGCATCGTCGGGGGGCCTAAAGTAAGAGGTGGTCTATTTCTAAAAGGCCTGGTGTCTCCGTAAGTTCTGGGCATCGTCTTAGCTTTGCTTTTTTTGTGGGTCTCATTCAGAGACGAGACTTGACGGCCTCTCTGAAGACACAGAAGTGAATGGCAAAGCTAGAAGAGGCTGCACCCTCCAGCTAGCATGACTTCCTTATAGGCACATGGGGAACGTGGGGCCTGTGGGCGGACGGGGCCTGCAGGGGCACAGCTGGGGCAAGAACCCAGAGCTCCAGCCCCCCAGTCCAGGGCCCTCTACTGCCCAGGCTGCACAAATGGGGCTGGGCCTGACAGACGGGGAGTCAGGCTGGGAGGCGGGCTCACTGGCCATCCCGGGGGCAGCAAAGGCACTCGGGCGGGAACCCCCCAGGAAATTCGGAAACCTTCCTTCCCCAGGATCCCAGCACCCTTCTAGATCCCGTGCAGATTGTCTTTCTGTTAAAGCGCTTTGAGGCCGGGCGGGATGGCTCACGCCTGTAATCCCAGCACTTTGGGAGTTCGAGGCGGGTGGATCACCTGAGGTCGGGAGTTCGAAACCTGCCTGGCCAACATGGCGAAACCCCGTCTCTACTAAAAATACAAAAATTAGCCAGGCGTGGTGGCGCATGCCTGTAGTCCCAGCTACTCGGGAGGCTGAGGCAGGAGAGTCGCTTGAACCCGGGAGGTGGAGGTTTCAGTGAGACAAGATCACATCACTGCACCAGCCTGGGCGACAGAGCAAGACTCCGTCTCAAAGAAAAAAAAAACCCCACAAAAAAAACGCTTTGAGAAGCTGCAGAAGCGGCTCTGCCTTTGACCCCGAACGGGCATCTTTACTTGGGTCCATCAGCCCCACAAGACAGGAAATCTGATGCCAAAAAAAAAAAAAAGTCATTCCAGATGTCAGCAACCAGGCGCCGCGTCCGCCCCGCCCCGCCCTCCGCCCCGCCCTCCGCCGGCACTAGCCAATCCCCAACGGGCCCGTCTTCCAGCCCCGAAGCGGTCACCTCCTGACCTCTAGTGGCGAATCTGGGGAACTGCTCCCCGGCCCGTCCGCCCGCCGAGCCCAGGCCGTGCATGCCCTGCCCGTTCTTCGCAAACCGAGTGAACCTCCCGATGCATGGACTCTGGCTGTCGTCGACGCAGACTCTCGTGCACTGCTTAACACCGTTTTGCTACCATGTGACGGCTGCAGACACTGCCCTCAAACTGCAGCCTCACACACACGTTTTGTACTTTGGTCTGACCTACCCGAAGGTGTCCTTTTTGAGTCTTATTTGTTAATATTTATAATGACATATAATCCAAAGTAAATGGAAACATCATATTGCGATCTCATTGCCTTGGCGAGACGCTCACCTTGTAATAGATTTGAAGGGGGTGGGGGCGGTGGCTCACGCCTGTAAGTCTTAGCACTTTTGGAGGTCGAGGTGGGAGGATTGCTTGAGGCCAGGAGTTTGAGAGCAGCCTGGTCAACATGGAGACACCCTGTCTCCACACACACACACACACACACACACACACACACCCCGAACGGGCATCTTTACTTGGGTCCATCAGCCCCACAAGACAGGAAATCTGATGCCAAACATGTTACCAGAGTCGGAGTAGTTTGCCAAGGCCACAGAGCCAGGAAGGGGTGAGCCAGGACTCAAACCCAGGTCTTATGACTGCCACTTTCCAGCCTGGGCAACAGAGGGAGACCCTGTGGGGGGGTTGGGGGGAAGGATTCGTAAGGGTTGGAGGGGAGGGGGAAAGACGGAGGAAAAGGCAACTGAAACCTACTCTGGATATAGTCTTGTTACTCTTCACCAGGCACCCATTTGAGGTAGGCCCTCAAGTTACAGATGGGGAAACTGCGGACCAGAGAAGTTAAAATACTTGTACCGAATCACACGGCTGGTCGATGGCAGAAGCAGGATTCAAACTGAGGCCACCCAAGACTTTTTGCACCGGGACCTGTTGGCCGTGCTGTTGTCCACTCATCCACCAAACAGCTGTGGAGTATTGACTCAAACGCCAGCCCCTGTCTGAGTCTCCAAGGGAGTTAAATGTTGGAAGGTACTTTAAGACACGTATTGTGTAGGTTTTGAGGGGGAGAAAACCTTCCTAACACAGTTTATTGAATAGTTTATTGCACATCATTCTTTAGGTCAGATAGAAACTTCTCAAGAGATACAAGCCTTTGCTTTCTAACATCGACTAACGAAGAAAATGTATGTCACTGAATGTGCAAACCTCTCAATCTCTTTCCTCTATGTCTCCCCTCAGGGTCAGGGTCAGGGTTAGGGGTTAGGGGTCAGGGGTTAGGGTTCACGCTTGGGGTCGCACTAGGTCCAGGTGTGGGTCCAGGTCAGCGTTTCACATTTAGTGAGGGTTTGGCGTTTGGTTTTGGCTGGGTTAGGGCGGGTTAGGACTCGGGTCATAGTTTTCGGTTGGTGCGGTGGGCATCCCTGCTGTAATTTCCTTTCTGGTTGTCACCGTGACCGTAACCCCAATTCTGGTTCCACTGCCCTCCCCTGTTCAGTTGTCAGGGCTCTTTTCAGGGCTGGCTCCATTCATTGCTCGCTCCTCCTACTTATCTCGCCTGTCCAATCGGCAGAGCGCTCCACCTTCTTGTTCCGCCCTCTTCTCCCTAACATCCAATAGCAGCCTTCTCCGCAGTCCTTGCTCCTACCACTCCTGTCTCTTGCCCAATCAGCAGGCTCTACCAATGCTCACTCCGCCCACCTCTCTCTTGTCCAATTGGCAGGGTCTCCTCAGTGCTCGCCCCACCCACTTCATGCCTGTCCAATTGCAGGATCTCAGCGCCAGCTCCGCCTGCTTCTCGCTCCTATCCATCCAGCAGGCTCTACCCGGTGCCCACCCTGCCCACTTCTCTTTCTTATCCAATGACAGCGTCTTCTAGTGCTCACTCCGCCCACTTCTCTCCCCCAGCCAATCCGCGAGCTCTGCCAGTGCGTTGCGTTCCTGTCCTCGGAGGAGGGAGCCCGGGGTCTCTCCGGGAAACGGAAACGCAGGCTGGGGTGTGCGGCTCGTTTCCTTGCGACGCGGGCAGACCAGCTCTGCCGCCGCGCGGTGGTTTTGTGGGGCAGAGGCCGCACGGTTCCGCAGGCCCTGACCCTGCAGGGACTCGGGGGGCCCCAGGCGCTTTGTCCGGGTGGAGCGGGGGCCCGCCCGGCGGGACGTGTGTGCGGCTGCGCAACTGGTCCCGCCGGCGCTGCGCGGGCCCGGGAGGGGGCAGCCTGGGGAGGCAGCGGCTGCGGGTCCCGCCCACGCGGAGCGCTCTCTGCCTCTCCGAGCTCTTGCTCCGGACTCGTTCCTTCATCCAGGGCGCCGCGCACCGAGTGTCGTCCCTGCTGTCCGCACAGAGGCTCGGCTGGGCTCCCGCTCCCTCTCTCGGTGGAATGAGCTGTCACAGCCGCCTCCGCGCGCACCTGTGCTCAAGGAGTGGCAGCTGGGCTGGCTTCATGCCCCGGGAAAGGGATGTTTGGCACCACCAGCGATTGGCAGACCGGTTGCACACCTGCTTAGCTGTCAGGCTTATCTGAAGGACAAGTCCTCCTGCCTCCAAACAGCAAAACCTCCAGCGCGGCTGGAAACGGAGCTGCGGCTGCCCGTTTGCATTTCGAGGTCACTGTGTGGCAGGGCCAGGAGCTGAGCTGGAGACGAGGGCATCGTGTGGCCAGAGGAGGGTTCAGTGAGTATATTTGAGAGGTGAACCAAGCACCAGGTTTTGGGGTGTCTTGGTTGATAGTAATGGATTGTTGGTTCAGACCAAAGACATGCCAAGAAAGAAAGAATACTGGGATGGCCCCGTGGCAACAGCCTTTTCCAGCCAGCAGGGCTGCTCTTGGCTGCTGGGAAGGAGGCTGGGACACGGAGCCTCACTAAGCCTCTCCTCCCATCTCATCACTTGCAGAGGGACGTGAGGAAAAGGGGCCTCCACAATCCCCAGAGACAATCCAAGGACCGTGGGAGCTGCTGGCCTCAGCCCCGGACTTTCCTGGAGCTGAGACAGTTTCAAAGCCACTGGCTGCCAGGTACTGTCATCCCGTGGCCATGGGACCACCTCACGTGATCAGTTCCTCTCTCTCCTCAGATGAGACTGGAGCGTGGAGTGGGTGCGGGGGTGCTAGGACCCCGATATGGGGACAAGGTCAGACCCCAGGGAGGGGGAAGTCACCAGCAAGGAGCCCACATCGGGGACCAGGGTCGGGGGGGCTTCCTGTGACCCTACACTGCTCCTGCAGCCTGACTCATCACCCGAGTTCATGTCTGCTTTGGAGAATGAGGGGACAGACTTAGAAGGAAACACATGCAGGCCCGACACCTAAAGACAAAGCCACGCCCTGTGGTTTATTTCTAGTATTTTTTCTGATGGTTTTTCACTGAGTCGGTGATAGCCAAAGTCTCTAGTTCCTAGTCCGTACCAGTGCTGTTTGGACACTCTCCCTGCGCTCCGTGCTCCTCCTATGATGAAATGAAAACTCGATGTAAGGACAGGAAAAGTGTAGCCTGGCCAGCTGTGGGGCAGAGTTCATGTAGGGTCAGCCCATGGCGTGTCTGGCCATCACGCCTTGCTCACTTCTGCTCCTCCTTTTCCTTGTACTGTTAAGACATCAGCGTCTCTCCCGACACCACCTGTGCCTGCTCAAATTCAGGCCTGACACTGCCCAGGTGTGTGACCCTAGGCAGGTTCACAAACCTCTCACCTGTAAAATGGGGATGGTGCTAGGACCTGCCATGGGGCGGTTGCAAAGCTTAAGTGGGGGTGGTTAAGAAAAACCTGGGAACACCAAGGAGCATCACTGAGACACAGTGAATGTTTGTGGAGTATTAATTCTTAATTCTTTAATAATTCCCTAATGAATTATTTACTTAATTGCTTTAGGATCAGTCATCATTTATTCACTCAACTGTTAGGCTCTTAACATTTTCAGTTAGGTTAGGGATAGCATAGGGTTAGGATTGTTAGGGTTAGGGTTAGGGTGGGGATTAAAATTCTTTATGAGATTTGGGTGGGGAAAGAGAGTCAAATCATATCAGTTCAATATTTTATATTAAGCGTTATAGAGATGTTGAACTCATATTCCTCGTGGAGGTTAAAAACTATATGATGGTGAGAAGTTGTAGTTAGAAAATTTATTTATTCTATAAATTTATCTTAATCCCTTGTACAATAAGGACCCATATTCATTAAACTGAAATGAAATATTCTGAGAACAGTGTGGTGTGACTGAGCTATTGCCATACCAGCTCATTTAATCCTTACCAACCGATAACTCTAGTGCCCACATTTGACTCATGAGGAAACTGAGAATTAGAAAGTAAAATATCTTGCCTAGGCTCCCAGCTAGCAAGTGACCCATCCCAGGCTTGAGTCCAAAATTATCTACTGACAGATCTGAAGTCTTGGACTTTCAATTACTATTCCTATTCAAGTCTATCATTTTGGATGTATTACCTGGGTGACAGGGTGAGACCCTGTCTCAAACAAAAAAGCAAACCCAAAAAGTTGGCTTGTGAAAAGGAGGAAAACTAGTTTTATGTGGTGTCATCAAGAAGTGAGAAAGGAAAATGTCTTGATCATAGAGCATGATCTGATACTTTAAAAGTTGCTGAGAGGTCAAATAATGAAGGCAGATGAGGCCTTTTGAGCTTACTGGTGACCTTCATATGAGCAATTTCACTGTTGGAGTAAGGTGAAGCCATGTTGGTGTTCAATTACTCAATATTATTCAAAATCCCTTCATCCTAAAAACTCTCAATAAACTAGGTATTGATGGAACATATCTCAAAATAATAAGAGCTATTTATGACAAACCCACAGGCAATATCATACTGAATGGACAAAAGCTGGAAGCATTCCCTTTGAAAACTGGCACAAGACTCCTATTCAACATAGTATTGGAAGTTCTGGCCAGGGCAATCAGAGAAAGAAATAAAGCATATTCCTATAGGAAGAGAGGAAGTCAAATTATCTCTGTTTGCAGATGACATGATTGTATATTTAGAAAACCCCATTGTCTCAGCCTAAAAATTCCTTAAGCTGATAAACAACTTCAGCAAAGTCTCAGGATACAAAATCAATGTGCAAAAATCACAACCATTCGTATACATCAATAGACAAACCAAGAGCCAAGTTATGAGTGAACTCGATTCACAACTGCTACAAAGAGAATAAAATACCTAGGAATACAACTTACAAGGGATGTGAAGGACCTCTTCAAGGAGAACTACAAACCACTGTTCAAGGAAATAAGAGAAGACACAAAACAATGGAAAACCATTTCATGCTCATGGATAGGAAGAATCAATATTGTGAAAATGGCCATATTACCCAAAGCAATTTATAGATTTAATGATATTCCCATCAAGCTTCCAGTGACTTTCTTCACAGAATTAGAAAAAGCGACTTTAAATTTCATATAGAACCAAAAAAGAGCCTGTGTAGGCAAGACTACCCTAGGCTAAAAGAACAAAGCTGAAGGCATCATGCTACCTGACTTCAAACTATACTACAAGGCTACAGTAACCAAAACAGCATGGTACTGATACCAAAACAGAGATATAGACCAATGAAACAGAACAGAGATCTCAGAAATAACACCATACATCGACAACCATCTGATCTTTGACAAACCTGACAAAAACAAGCAATGGGGAAAGGATTCCCTCTTTAATAAATGGTGCTGGGGAAACTGGCTAGCTATATTCAGAAAGCAGAAACTAGACCCCTTTCTCACACCTTATGCAAAAAGTAATTCAAGATGGATTAAAGACTTAAATGTAAAACCCAAAACTATAAAAACCCTAGAAGAAAACCTAGGCAATACCATTCAGGACGTAGGCATGGGCAAAGATCTCATGACTACACCACCAAAAACAATTGCAACAAAAGCCAAAATTGACAAATGTGATCTAATCAAACTAAAGAGCTTCAGCACAGCAAAATAAACTGTCATCAGCATGAACAGGCAACTTACAAAATGGGAGAAAATTTTTGCAAGCTACCCATCTGACAAAGGTCTAATATCCAGAATCTACAAGGAACTTAAATTTGCAAGAAAAACAACCCCATCAAAAAGGGGGCATATCGCATCAAAAAGGAGGCAAAGGATATGAACAGACACTTCTGAAAAGAAAACATTTATGCGACCAACAGACACATGAAAAAAAGCTCGTCTCTGGTCACTAGA